TTTTTGTGCAGTTAAAGTATTTCATACATGATGGCTATGATTTTGTGCCTTGTAACTCTTGTTAACATCTTGTATACATTTCCTACACAGCTAGGCTTTCATCCTAGACAGCAAGAATCCCGGGCCGTCTTTGAATAGCTTTATCCAATATTCCCAACACAGCAACATAGCAGAAGTGTAACATCAAGAGAAGTACATCTGTCATGACATCAAAACATTTTTGATCTTCTGTTTTCTCAAATGCTCAAATGGAAAACATAGTAACAGTTTTTTTTTTTTCAACCTCTTTGGAGCAAAGCATTTAACTTCTTTAAATGATAAAGAGATTCCCCCAAAGCATGGTCTTTGAACTAGTAAGAAGCAGTGGTGCCACAGCCCACCACAGTATGGTCCACCAGTGGTAGCAGGAGCAAATCAAGAGCTGCTTATCTCCCCATGGTGTCTCTGGCTGACTTTTACTGCAGTGCAATCCATGGGTGATTCTAGATGTGGATGTGACTCTCCCAGAGAAAGAATGTCAGGGAAATCAGTCTGCCATCGAGTGTGTGCTCAAAGACACCCATGTGAGTCGGCCTGGAGATAGAGCTATTTGTTTATGTGTGTAGTTGTGTGTATGTGAGTGGCTTTCCATTCCCAGAGTCCCAATTAACTGCTTTAAATATTTGTGGTGTGGTCTGAAGCAACCCACGCATTTCCTTCACACGTGATGAGGACACTGGTTATTATGTTCTCCTGCTCTTTTGATAGATTATATAATGAATAGATAATTTACATTTAGGGTTCTAGTCTCTTTTACGGTTATGATATAATGAGATAATGTGTGCAAATTTGTTTATGCTTAGTATATTAAGTGTTCAATAAATGTTAGCTACTGTTTAGTGTTGTGATAGTATTTTATTGTCAGTAATACATTTATTAGTAGTAATCATAATTGTGGTGATATGGTACAGCAGCCTGCTTGCTATCTAAATTGCACAGATATTTCCTGATTTCTAGATAATGTGCTTGAATTGCAGTTTAATGCAGTGGGAAGCATTTGGTAAGGAATGCTTAGTGTTTGTTTTTTCAATATTCATTAATCATTTTACCAATTTTTGGATTCACAATTTCTCTAATGATTCCCGTGGTTTTCCGTGACTACAAGTGTTACTTTCTAAATGTGTTGGAACTGCTATGGAATCATACGTTCAGAAGCTGAATAATTGTGAAGGCTGAACAGTGGCCGTTGCTGTGGGACTTCTGTTAGTCCTGTTATCCCTTTAGCATCAGCCTGCCTGAGACGCTCTCTATTACCCTCACTTTCCTTTGGGGTAAGGCAGTCCTTCTCTTTTTTTTTTTTTTTCCTGAAGCATTCCTAGTACCAGAAGAGGGAAACTGCAAATCCCCATGGGATTGTTAGTGTGGAAAAGCTGTCAGCAGCTTGACATTTCTTTCAAGTTGAGTGTTCAGTGGTCAAATTATACGTTAATTTTGCATTCCATGCCATGACAATCCCAAACCTATTTTGGTATACAAGAGGTGTTTCAATTTATATACCACCAAGTAAAATGAATTCTGCTTGGCTTCTGCCTTTCCTCTTCCTCCCATAAGACCTCTGTTTGCAGAGAATAGGATTAAAGCATATTCTTAAGAATGCACTCTTAGAATACTACTTAAATATGAATTATAGACTAATACCTTTAAATGGCTTAGCTGATCTAAATACTGCAGCTAATACGTCTTGGAGGAAATGGTACACAGGACAAAGATGTTTGGAGGGAGTAAGCTAGCCAGTTAGGAGGAGCTTGGTTGCATTTGTGACAGAGTAGAGAAGTTGCTAGATGGTTAGGGGAAATTGCTGCACATAAAATGAGAAATTTGCAGCACAAAAAAGGAATGCTAGGATTGGGGTTGTTAATAATCAACTTCACCTTCTCTGCAATTTTGCCTACAATGGGTCTTTTCTGGTTCTTGTAACTTAATTGGGAAGACTCAAAGAAAGTATGAATTCCTTAAACCATAGAACAGAAAGATGATCTCTATTCCTTCTTCTTTAGAAATAGAAGATGTTACATAAATGTTTCAACGTACACTTTTCACAATTTAGCCTTTCATTTTTTCTTCCTTTATTAGAGAATAGTTTAACTTCTGGTCTTTCTTTCTTTCTTTTTTTTCCTGCTTGTATCATGCGACCAGTATGTGTTGTTTCCTGGGTTATCAGGAAATGATATAGTTGTGTTCTTGTGCACTGGTACAAACTGTTTTCTCCAATTGGTCATTGTTTTCTAGAGAGACTGACTTCTATACACCAGAACTGGCACTGTCTGGCATTTAGGCTTGGATGCCACCTCTCAGAACCAATGAGATGACTTTCTGGCTGATTAAAATATGTTTCACAATCTGCTATAGGAAAAATGGGATGTGAGAATAGTATGCATTAGTAGCATCAAACTTTTTATTTTTGCACATTTCATTGTTCTCTTGCAGTTAGGGAAGATGCCAGTTTTTCTTTTGTGATGCTTTTAAAATTCTTGAGGAAAAATTTAAAACTAAATGGAAAGGAAACACTTAGAAGTAATACCTGAAAATGAAAGTGGGTATAATCTCATTATTAATAGTTTGTCTTTAAAGGAATTTTCCATTTGCAAAAACAGTAGTGATATATATCTCTAAAACAGACTCTTGTAGATGCATTTTAAACAAGTTAGTCAAATTTATATTAAAGTTTACACAGTACAAAGGTATTTATTATAGCAATAGATAATGTTAACTGCTTTCCAGATCACCTTATAGCATTGCAATTCCTATTCTTCTGATGATTTAAATCATAAACAGCTCTTCAACATATTTTCTTTAGTCTTAGAACTGTGAGGAAGACCAAAGGTTATTTTCATCTATTTTACAGAAGAGAAAGTAGCCCAGGGAGAAATTGGTAGAAGATGCTCTGACTTTTGACCCTGCCAGTGTGTTCTTGCTTCTTATCTTCCTGACTCTAGATCCATTTCTAAGTTCTGTCAGGCTGTGTCACACGGGTAGTGCTTTCCTTTTTATCTGTGTTGTTTCCATGGGTAACAATGCATAGGACGCTTTAATGTGCTTTGGGGAGAGTGCATACTTGCCTTCAAAAGATGCCCTATAGTGGAGTGGTTAATCCCACAGACTCCAGAGCCAAATTATGGACTTTATGCTCCAGCTCTACCACTTAGCAGCGGTGTGACTTCAGGAAAGGGGGGATTGCTCTGAGCCTCAGTTTATTTCACCAGTAAATTGAGAATAATAAAAGTGCCTATCTCATTGGGATGCTGTGAAGACTAAATGAATGAACATAAAACATAAAAGTGCTCGCACCAAGTCAGCACTCTATACGTTCTTGTGTTATTATTATTGCTTAAGAGTTGCATTTTTTAAAGTTGATGTGACTTCACTTTCAATGTCCAGAGGTGACTCATTCATTATGCCTATACTGTTAAGAATAGACTCCCCAAATTCTGCTATTGAAGTGAATATTTTTTCCTTAGAAAATGTGTCTCTCTCTGACAGAGTCTTCAGTCTCTATTCTCCAGTGTTTAGTCTTAGACTAGATTACAAACATAGTGTGTGGAATAGAGCACTGATGCAGGAGGCGGAAGACCTGAACGTCAGTCCCAGCTGTGACCGTGGGCCAGCCATTTAACCTCATCGGGCTTAGCTCCATTTCTCTTCACGAGAAGGCTAAACAGTACAGCCTCCAAATCTTCTTCTAAAATCCCGTGCCATGACTGAGGTACTTGAAGGAAAGTTCACTTTAACACAAACATTAGGCAAAGCCCAACTGTTTATTCATCCTATATAGTTAAAGACTGTTATTAGAAGGATTTAGCTATTATTACATAAGCTAGAATTGGAAAGTGCTTGTTTAGATTTTGTGGAACGAAATATCCCAAGGCTTTTTAAAACACAAGCTTCCTCATACACCGTAAGGAAGCATTCACTGAATTAAAAAGATATAATAGGGTATCATGGAGGATTTTGCATAAAGTAAGTGAATTAGCCCTTCCCTGAGCCTCCCTTTCTAGAAGAACGCTCCAGCAATCAGTGTAACCCACATATCCTCCCACGTCGTCCTTTAGTTTCAAGGTCATGCTCTCAGGCATTGCTGTGAGAATGAAGAGAAGAGAGAGAGAGAAGAAGCTGCTTCCTCTTTTGTCTGTACACTTAGAAACATTCCTGCTTCCTCACACTTAGTCCTTCCGCCCCTGGGCCAGTATCAGCATGTGCATTTGATGATTGTAGCAATGAACCAAAATAAGAAATAAAAATTGCAGAAAAGATCTCTGTTGGGCACTGATGTAAATGACAGCTCATGTGTTGTGCTATCCTCGTTCACTTTTTGTTTTGATTGACATTTTGAGCCTTCAGAGACTTTTTCTCCATTAGCCAGATGGGAACATTGTCCTCAAGATGATGGAAAAGACAGAAGGAATGTGGGTAACTAACAATTTAACAACAGGCAGATTGCCAGGATAACCCAATATATTGAAAACCAGCTCACCAAGCAGAAGGGGATGTGATTTACTTTACAGAAGATACATTGCTGTGTAAGCTCTTGTACACTGAGGAGCTGATTTTATTTTCACTTATTTACGGAAGAGCATCTTTTCCTTGTTTTCTCCCAAGCCTAGAAATGCTGGGTCTAGGTGGGGTAGGAATGGCAGCAGTTTACAAAGTCACAAACCACAGTGATGGAAGAGTTGACTGTCCTCAGTAGATAAAGAGGAGGGGTCCCGGAGACAGGATTCTCAGGGGACTGCTAACAGCCACAGAGCCAGGTCAGGTTCAGGTTGAGGTCCTTGGCTTAAAGAGCAAAGCCTTTCAAAAATTTTAGAAAAGAACCTTGGATTAAACCTTGGAAAAGTGAGCTTGTGGGTCTGGGTCTGTTTCCTTCCTCATTTAGCAATGGCAGTAAGGCCACAGAGCAGTATCACTCAGGATGTGCCTGGCCCATAACGTTCTTCTTTGGTGTCTATTTTTCCTGTTTGTAGGGCCAAGGGGATCTGTTGAAGAATGCCAAGCATGAAGCTCTAGAAAACATGAAGCAGATCCAGCTGGCGTGCTTGTCTTGTGGACTGAGCAAAGCCCCCAGCAGCAGTGCCGAGGCCAAGAGCAAGCGCAGCCTGGAAGCCATAGAGGAGAAGGAGAGTGGCGAGGAGAACGGGAAGCTGTGACCCCACGCAGCGTTGCCACGTGCTCACATCCTTCTTGTCAAGGACTCTGGTTCCTTGTTCTTGTCTCCTTTAAGTTTTTTAGAAGTTCACAAAAAGATGCCCTGTATGGGGTGTTGGACTTAAACATATATTTTCACAATGTCAGTATTTTAGTGTAGTTAATTTATCTAAGTTAAAGCCTTTAATAGCAGTGTTTTAAATTCTGACACGTGTCAACACCTATGTGTGGATGTGTATAGAAGTGCGTGTGTGTGTGTGTGCGCGTGCACCAGCAAGTGAGAGAAATTCTGTTAAAACCTATTCTGTGTTGCATTATTCATTGAGTAAGTTATTCCTTTATCTTTACCATTTTGGGACAAATGTGTTAATCTGAAAATCTAAAAGCACTTACTGTAACCTGTTGCTGTGTTTAATTTTACTCCTCTGGCTCTGTCATTTAATTTAGAGATCTTAGAATAGCTTATTATTGAAGGAAGCCAAATTTATCAAAGCATAGATGTTTTGATAGGTTGAATATAGATTAGAAAAATTCCTAAGAATCACAGTAGAAATAAAAGTGAATAAAACATTAAAGAGATGATCAGAATTTCTGGAAAGATCAGAAAAGTCATTTCTTCAGTTAGCGAACTCTTTAAAATATTTATTAAATAAAATCATTTTTTAGGATGTTTTCTGTAGTCATTTACTAAACATTCGATTTTAGTGGAAAGCTGATCGTTAGAGAATTTATGTCTCCCTATGTGGTACCCTGAAACACACAGAAAGCTCTGTTGTAATTCAAATTTTGATGTGACTATAATATTGTTATGGAATTTCAAGATTTGTAGGAAGGTCTCATTTTTCCAAACTAGGAGTCTAGCATTCATTTTCTATGACAGACATGGGTAGCTAAGAAGTTGGCTTTGATTGGGGTGCTACATTTAAATTTAAAGATATTGTTCAAACAATATCATATCATCACATTGAGCTAATATAAATTCTGTGGGTCAGATAACATCTTTGTGATGATTTAAGAACTAACTGATTACAAAAGATCTATGATATAATTTTAACACATTTGGAAAAACATACACACAAAAAGAAGCAAATGACTAATTAGGGTACATTTGTAATTGCATCTAGATCATTTTTACCCCGATGTCTTCATAAAGTACTTGAGTGTATTGTTTGTTACCTCCAACAGAACTGAATGTTCTATGGTTATGAAAGAATATATTTATTTAAAACTGCTTTTATTTTGAAAAGCTTCTTAATTAATTTGATTAACAAATATGCTAATTTTGGGAATCTAGAGAAGATAATTGTTGAAATTTTGCAAATATAAACATCTTCTATAGCTTCTGTGTTAAGTTATTTCTGACTTCTTAACACTATTATGTTCATGTTGCACATTACTGAAAGAGTAAAGATATGAAAAAGCACTTTTATTGTTTTTTTTTATTGTGAGCTAATTGAAAAAGGAAAGATAACAAAAATGTGTTATTGTACCAAAAATATCTTAGAGAGTACACTATTTCCATATACCAGAAATGATGAAATTACTCCCTCGTTTTAAAACTGGGCACTTGGGGAGGAGATACCTGAAGTCATTTTAAGGCAAACTTCCAATGGAATTACAATGGACTGAAAAAAATGTCTCTACCTTCCATTATACATAATCTGTTGGTAGAAAGAATAGTGGAATGCAGATGTCTAAGACCTTTATGACGAAAAAGAGGTGGAATAGACAGAAACAAAACCCATCTTACATCAGCCAGGTTTTACTTGTAGACCACTTCACCTTCTTGAATTCCACTTGGGTAAATTCATGCTTTTCCAGGCGACATGGATAGGTGGGAAGAAAAGAAAAAAGGGTGGCAAACTCTCAAAGAATATTTGTACATTTATTTCTTTTAGGCTGAAATCCAATCTTTGGAAATAGCTTCCCTAGTTTACTCCATGTGTTCTAGAGCTCCACTCACACTCAGGACTTACCTAAATATTCTTGACAGCACGACATGGATCCACCTCGTCTGATGCTACTTCTGGCAATGGGTTGTCCGCCATTCTCTGCTCCATGCCTCTGGGTGTCCTTTCTTGATAGGGAGGGAATGTGAGCAGGGGAGCTTTGGGTTCTGAGAGTGGAGGAATTGCATGGGTAAAGGCCCTGTGATGCTCTTGCCTCCAGATAGAATAGCAAAAGCAAACAAGCAAAACCTTTTGTTTCTTATGGTTCCACTGCATCATTACATTCCACCAGTGTCTGTCTCCTTTCTAGACTTTATCTGCAGTAGAAAAAAGTCCCTTCTATCCATTTAGCTGTTATTGATTCCAGGAAGGTAGTGTTATAGATATTAACCCTATGTTTATTTATTCATTTTCACATCATCAAGGGGATTTGAGGTAGAGATGGTAGGTGATTTCACTGATACTTTACAGGTGAGAAAACCCAAGGCCACTGAAGTCTTAAATGGAAGAATTGGCTTTGAATTCAGGTCTGACTGATTTTATGTGCAAAAGTATTTATTTAGTAATTTTGATTTTAAATTTATTCTCAAAAATTTATTAACTCTTTCCTTTAGAACCACAAATACAAAGAGCTATATCATTTTTTTCTGAAAATAAAACATTATTGATCAATATAAAAATGTAAAAGTAGAGAAATATATATAAAAGAAAATAAAAATCATCCACTATTAACATTTTAATTTATATCTCTTCAGACACTGTTTAGAGATTATATATATGTAAATATGCTTTTATTTTTAACAAAAGTGAGATCATATTACATAAACTGTTTGTAACAGGATTTTTAAAACTTTAACAGTATATCATGGATATCTATGTCAATAAATTTATATGTACATTAGAGCTCCTAGCCTTTGAACTGAATCTAGTGCACAAATGATGTGTTTTATGTGGCCACTGAATGTTTTTTAAAACATGTTTAAGCAATAGACAGCTTTTGAAAATCAGAAAATGTCACATAAAATTCAATTTCCTGCTTCTTTTAAAATATTGGCTATTCTGCCAACACAAGACAGACCTAAATCCCCACCTCACAACCACCACACACACTTCTTAATTGGCGTCAATTAATTGGAACTGCCTTCACTACAAGGGGCATAAGCTGTCCAGTTTTTTGGAGAGCCTCTTCACACATTTATGTTACACGTGGACCCTGTGGATCTCTTTGGTGGTGACCTTTGATGTAAATTATCATTTATAATAATTATATAGTGTCTTATTATGTGGCTTACCATAACACATTTAACAAATCCACTATTATTAGACTTTTCTCTCCCAATTCCCTGTTATATAAATATTGCAGTGATAAAATCCATTTTTGCAAATTTGTTCAACTTTTTCTTTAGGATAAATTTCTAGAAGTGGAATTGTTGAGTCAAAGGATACATAGGTTTAATTTAGGGATTTTAAGATACATTGCCAAATAGTATGCAGAAAATTTTTCAACTTAAATTCCCACCAGAACTTTATGAGAATGCTCACATTTTTATAATAATAAACAAATTTTTAATGAAAAAATACCAATTTATACATTACCAATCTGCCAATCTACTAGGTTAAAAATTCTTATTTCTGTTTATTTTTAATCTCTAGTGAGATTGAATGCATATAAATATGTTCATTGGCTATTAAATTAAAAACTTGTGCTCCAAAGGACACCATCAAGAAAATGAAAAGACAACCCATTGAATAGGTTTGCAAGTCATATACTTAATAAGAGACTGGCCTCCAGAATATATTAAAAACTATTACAACTCAATAAAAAGGTATTCAATTTAAAATAATGGACAAAGGATCTAAAGATGGAAAATAAGTATATGGAAAGTTAAGCACATGGAAAATTATTCAACACCACTAACCACTAAAAAACACAAAGCCACAATGAGATATGACCTTCCACCAAATAATTTGGTTATAATAAAAAAGAAAAATAATAAGTGTTATTGAGAATGCAGAGAACTTAGAACCATCCTACACTGGTGGTGGGAATGTAAAATGGTGCACCTGTTTTGGAAAACAGCTTGGCACTTTCTCAAAAGTTTAAACATAGAGTTACCATATGACCCAGCAATTCTACACCGAGGTTTATACCCAAGAGAAATGAAAACACAAAAGCTTGTGCACAAATGTTCACAGCAGCATTATTCATAATAGCCAAAAAGTGGGAACAATCCACATGTTCATTAACTGATGTAAGGATAAACAAAAATAATATATTCATACAATGGATTGCTCAACAATAAAAATACAGGAAATACTGATATATGATATACCATGAATCCTGAAAACATTATGGTGAGTGAAGGAAGTCTGACATAAAGGTCACATATTATATAATTCCATTTATATGAAATGTCCAGAATAGGCAAATCCACAGAGACAGAGAGTAGACTAATGGTTGCCAGGGGCCAGAAGGAGGGGAATATGGAGCGACTGCTAATGAGTGTGAGTTTTCTTATTGGTGTGATAAAAATGTCCCACAATTAGAAATAATGGTGATGGTTTCACAACTTTGTGAATGTACTAAAAGTTATTGAATTGTAAACTTTAAAAGGTGAATTTTATAGTATAGTAAATTATATCAGTAAAAGGGTTGTAAAAAAAAGAAACAAAAAAGAATGTACATAATGAACAGCATCAGTGAATAGTGAAATAACTTGAAGAAGTCTAATATATAAAATTGGAGAGAAGGGCAAGAAAGAAATAATATTTGAAGAAATAATGGCTAAAAATTCTCCTTTTCTAATAAAAACTAGAAACACATAGATCTAAGAATTTCAAAAAATCCCAAAGACAATAAATAGGAAGAAAACAACTATTAGTTCATTTTTCTGCTACTATAACAAAATACCACAGACTGGGGTAATTTATCAAGAAAAGTTTATTTGGCTCACAGTTCTGGAGGCTAGGAAGTCTAAGAGAATGGCTCCAGCATCTGGTGATGGTCATCCCATGGCAGAAGGGCAGAAGAAAGAAGAGCAGGATAGCCCATGTGAAAGAGACCTTGCTTTTTTAACAGAGCCACTCTAGAGGTGACTAACCCACTTCTGTGGTAACAAAATTAATACCTTCATGATAATGGAAGCATGATGACCCAATCACCTCTTCTTAGGCTCCATTTTACAACACTGTGGCACTGGGATTAAGTTTCCAACACATGGGTTTATTCAAACCATGGCAACAAGCAAGCCACATCGTAGACAGGTTGTTCAAAAGTAGCGATAATGAGACAATGTTAAAAGCAGAGAATGAAAAAAGACATGTCAGCGAAAATAAGAAAGATAGCAGATTTCTAATTGTAAATATTGTAAGTGAGATGACAGTAGAGCAACTTCTTTAAAGTACTGAAAGAGAAGCAAAAACTGTAATCCTAGAATTCTATACCCAGTAAAAATGAATTCTTGAATTCTATATCTACTCCAAAGGGAAGATTATACAAAACATTTCAAAAGCTGAATTCATCATCAATAGAATATTAAAGGAAATCCCTCTAGCTGAAGGAAAATTATGTCAGGTAAAAATATGGATCTACACAAAGGATTAAAGAGCACAAGAAATAGTAACTACAAGAGTAAATACAGTTGGCCCTCCTAGCCTTAGGTTCTGCAACTGTGAATTAGACCAACATTAGATTGAAAATATTAGGGGAAACAAAACAATAAAAATAATAATGCAACAATAAAAAATATAGTACAAAACTACTTACACAGCATTTACATTGCATTAGGTATTATAAGTAACACAGAGGTGATTTCAAGTTTCTGAGAGGATGTATGTAAGTTACATGCAAATACTATGCCATTATATATTAATACAAGGAGCTTGAGCATCTGCACACTTTGGTATCTTTAGGGGGTTCCTGAAACCAATCTTGCATGGATACTGAGATACTTTTCTATACTACACATAGAAAAATGTATTATTTAAATGTCTTAAAAAGATGATTGTTTAAACAAAAATAACAAGGTGATGTGGAATTTGTAACATACAAAAGGAAAATGTGGGCTAAGAATAACATCAAGTTGGTAGGAGAGAAAGATTTAATATTACATGTGAGGTATTATAGTATATCACTTGAAGGTACATTGTAATAAGTTAAAGAGTATTCTCTAAACTCTAAGTTAACCGCTGAAACAACAAAGCAAAGGGTAATAACTAATAAGTCAATAAAGGAGATAACATTGAATTATAAAAATATATTTAATTAATCTTAGAAAGGCAGAAATAGAAAACCAGGGAAAAAATAACAGATGGGGAAATAAAATCAAATAGCAAAATGATTACCTTAAAAATATAATCCTATTAATAATCGCATTAAATATAAATTATATAAATACCATAATTAAAAGGCAGAAATTGTCACATTGGATAAAATAAAAAGACCAAGTAATATGCTACTTACATGAAGCAC